TGTTCACAGTTCGGGACTTTAACTTGATAGGATTTTCTTATTGGTCGATCAGTTCAAAATGATTGGAATGGCATTCAACCTTGTGCACGGTCAGATCTAAAAAATCAACTAAATGATTTCTTTTTCCATCACTCACAATTAAATCCGAAATATTTCATCTTACCGCACTTCGAGATTCCAAAGAGTGACACTCGTTGTGTGTTTTCAAAAATTGACTGCCGCCACTTAAACTTCAACGTAGTAACCTGGCCTCATACGCGTGTCGGTGCAGAGAATTGCAGAGGTCTCCCAACTGGTAAGAACTACAACGTGCTGTTCACAAACAGTTGTTGCTTCGATTGTCGCGGAAAAATCAAACTTGGGGGTAATTTTTGCCACTTTCGAAACAAATTCACTTGTATATAAAGGTCGTTGAAAGTCGAAAACGCACTCTGTGTCAAAAGAGGATACGTTTGTATTTTAATGGCACACAATAAAGTTGTATGGTTCGGAAGTATACTTTTCCTGGAAACAGAATATAATTTGCTTCCCTAGGTCACACCTGGTGAGAAGCGTTTGTACCAATTGAAGAACAAGAGTCTGGAGGGAAGAGCCAAAGGGCACCTTATCCTGACACTTGATGTGGAGTATAACCCTATAAGGGCCGCTGTAAGGACCGTCAATCCAAGGGAGCCTAAGGTCATGTTTGAACCAGCCAAGTTCAAGAGGGCGGTAAGGATGTGAAGTAGTTGTGCTTATTTAATACTTGCAAGTAGATTACGGGTCTGGACTTTAAATTTGTGAATTTTTATTTGCAGTTATTGCAGCGCAACATTGACCGGGTAAATAAGCTGGTTGCAAGTCTGGTTTCAACTGGAGCATTCGTTCAATCACTGTTCACGTGGCAGTACAAGTTTAGAAGTGCTTTTGCTTTTGCAGTAAGTTTTTACTTGTGCGTTCGTGTGCAATTATAATTGATCAAACGGTTTCAATCATTTTTCAATGAAAAAACCAAAGCAAAAACAAAAACATTTCCAATTACGTGTACGTTGTGACAAGAGGTAAATGAGAAGGTTATAACGCGTTGGTTTGCATCAGTAAAATCGAGTCACCAATTTCAGAGCTCGGACATATGTCTGGAAGCACAATTTCTTCCGTTTGGCTGTGCTTTGCTGTGCTGTAGGGGTACGCACTGTAAAATGTCAGAATATGGGGAGAAACATGGCGGCCTAATGGGTAGGGCGCCAAGCCACGGTGTGGAACATCTGGGTCGACACCTTGCCGCTTGTGTTGTGCCTCTCCACACCCTTAAAATTTTCAATGGATACCAGCAAAAACTGGGAGGCAAACCTGACGTAATGGTGCGGGCTACGTGTACCTACATTGAATCATCGTCCTGTTTAAAAGGAATAGCGATACTCATAGACCACTGGCTTGAAATCAAAACTTGGCGAGATCAGAGAAACCCGTATTTCGTCAGAATACTCGTTGACATCTTTTAAATTGTTTTCTGTTGCATTTTTTCAGATCTACATCATGTTGTGCTTGAACTTTGACTTCTATATTATACCGTTGACTCTTCTACTTACGTTTCTGAAGCAATACGTCATGTGTATGTTACTTGCTGAGAAGAACGTAAATCCAGAAGAACAGGTTAGCTTATCCTACATTTGATTAGCGAGGGCTGGAGTGTATGCTACAGAAGCACAGTTATCTTGTTCAGTTTGCATGATAGACGACCTCTTGCACGATGTGGTGAAACATAGCCACTTGACGATTTGCTAATGGAAGGAGAAAATGAAAAGAGTTGACTAAAATACAGTTGATGTCATAAGCCCCACAAGCACGTTAACGTTCCATTACATAATTGCTATGCATGGGTTTGTTTCAGTCAAATTATAAGATGCCCCCTTTACCCTCAAGGAACTAGACAGGTAGTCGCTCATCATTTTGACTGATGACCACAGCCATTACCCATCAGTAAGGCTGTCGCGAAACCATTGTTGTGAAATCTGTTGATCAATTTCAAATTTGAATGGCTGTGACAGGAAGGTGCTCCGGTGGACGAGGAAGAAGACGACGAGGAAGAAGAGGAAGAAAAAGGAAAGAAAGGGGTGAGCTGCTGGTCAATCAACTATTGGTTCTTAATTGACAGTGCTCGGTCTTTTGACGAGGCAATAACTTAAACATTTGTGGCCTTTTTTAGGATAAGGGTAAAAGTTTCAAGGAGAAGATTGCAGCACTCACATCCATCTGTCAAACTGTGCAGAATGCGTTAGATATGGTGGCCTCCAATGGAGAACGAGTGAAGAAGTAAGGAGTATAAGTGATCTGAGTACATGTGGCCGTTCATGCTTTTCTTTAACTTAATCTAAGTCTAACCAAGCGACAGAATATCTTTTGTAAATCCCAAATTTTTCCGTCTGTTTTTGAATAACTGTTTACGATGGGTGAGGGCTTAAACTTCTACACTTGGTATGCATCCCGCAATTTTTGCAGACATTGATTGACGGTTATAAACATTTGTTTCTCTGCAGCACGTTTAACTGGACTGTGCCGTTTTGTTCGTACTTGATGTGCATTATCTTCACACTGGGAACCATCGTACTTTATCTTGTACCTCTCAAGTTCTTGCTTCTCGCCTGGGGTAAGCTGGTGTTTTAATAACTTTCGTCCACTTAGTTAAGTATGAATTTGAATTATTGAAGGAAGTGCTAAAAATTGTCAATGGTTCTTAATGACTTCAATAACTTTGGAGACGTTCCGTGGCCTCTAGATTGTTTTAAGGAATGTTTGTATTGGGGTAGTTTCCTTTACTTTCTGTGTGCTAGTTAGAAGTTCAGCTGCAAGTTCGATGACTGTCACCATAAGAGGGGAAATTAGAGCCATGATGCGAATTGCCGCCACCATAAAGTGGTCACTAGCTATACCAAGTCTTATTATACTGATACATGTACCTTCACTTGATAAGACAAATTGAGGGGCAATTTTTGGCGGTTGTTGGTATGTTACCAGATAAGCCACCGTTTAAGAACTGAGGAGGGTTACGTCTTCGGTATTGTTTTTCTCATCACGATCATCGTGTTTCTTACCAAGGACCCTCTAAGATTTGAATTGTAGTAATAGCTTATGGGGCATGCGTGTTTGTTTTCTTCCTTAGGAATAAACAAGTTCACAAAGAAGATCCGCAAACCAAACGCCGTTGATAACAATGAACTTGCGGACTTTTTGTCCCGTATTCCTTCGGATATAGAGATTGTAAGTTTATGGAACATACTCACCAATTTCGTAATTCAACGACTTGTGAGTAGACCACTTATCTGCTTAAGAATAAAAAAGGAACAATCGATACCTTGTCAGTGGCTGCCACGTCGAATTTCATGACGTGGTCGGCTGTGTTGAGGTCGGAAACTGCTAATGTTTCGGTGTCATACTTCACAGTTTCACGTTTCCAACGGCCCAACAAACAACCTCTCAGGTCCCAACCATGCGATATGTTTGTCATTCAGATGGGAGGCTTTTGTAACAACGCTTGTTAAGACCAAAGGCTAGTCCCCAGTGAACAGATATCGAACTCCCTGCTCATTCACTTCAAGCCATGTTTTTACACAGAATGAAATTTGAAACTTAATTCTTTAATTGAAAGAAAGCTTCAAAAAATGTTTGTTGGGGGTAGGCAAACATGGAAAAGCTACTAGGAAGGGGGGGGGGGGGGGGGGGGGAGATGGCAAATGACGAACTTTTCCGAGAAAATGTGTTTCTTTATTCGAATTTAATTCTTATTTACCAATGCGTTCTTTTCCCTTTGTTGACAGAAAGAGCAAAAGGTACTGAAGACAGACCCGTCTCTCAGGTTAAAGAGGATCGATGGTTAGCGCACACAGTGATACAGTATGTATCTTGCAATGAACTCGATCAGTTGTTCGACTGCTCTCGAGTGTGGTCCCTGTGCTACGAGTTGAAACTTTTGGGTTAATCTACGTCGTCGTGGAGATGAGAATTTACAAGTGCTTTGAACATTTTCAGTAAAGAATTTTGCGAATTTAGCTCTATTTATTAAATTGTACAGTATTTATTACTTCTAGAGAAAAGAGAAAATTAATTGGAGAGCGAAAAGTAAGTTAAATGGCGGCTCCACAGTCACTGAATTATATTGGTCAGGCAGATAAGTAGTGTGCTGCCTTTAAAATATTTATATTGGGTTTGGATGTACAGACTGAAATAATTATAATGGTTAAAGGGCAAACTTTCGTTTTTTGCACTTCACAATTTTTGAATCAGTGAAAGTTCTTTTTCGTTTTGCTTTGTCAAACAACGTAGTTGGAAAAATAGAACTTGTTTGAATTCATTTAAATTTCAAGCATGAAGTGGGGTAGTCGGTGATAATAAATTGGTTTTTAAGACTCTCCAGCCAATTGCTGGTGTCGTGAGTCTCGTCCTTTTTTGGTTTTTGTTTCTTTTCAAATGATATAATTAGTTAGAGAACGATCTTGTTTCATTAAACTTTTTAACTTGTTAAGTATAGCGTGTAATTTTGACTACAAGGTATGGGTTTAGCAAGAAAAGATGACGCTCCGTCATTGGCACACCGTTGAGACAATCAAGCAATACTCCATGTGTGTACACCATACCATTTTCGTACCCTTTCCATCTTTTAGTGTCGTTTTGATTCCGGGTGGTACAAGGGAGTGCGGTAAGTGCTGTTCGCTTTTGTCATGTTAGGTGGCAACATTCTGAAAAGTGAAGTTCTCAGTTGCCATAAAACAATTTGTTTGAACAGGTTTTGTTCGCGGTTGAAAATTCTTTGAATCTATACGTCTGTAGGTCTAATAACTGAGTAATGAGTAAAGGGGTAAGTTTCTAAAGAAACTGTGGTGCTGCGTCAGTGGGAGAGTATAGCAGGTAATTTAACGTTAACAACTGAGTTGAGAACTTGAACACGGCTGACCCAGAGGTCTCTCACTGCTTCATGGGCTGCACAGGGTAGCGGCAAACTATACAAAGAGATCTCACTGCTAAAGTCATTTTTCATGGTTGGTTTATTATATTTTACCGATTTCAACACAATACCGACTTCAATCTTCACTGAACACCCGAGAGAGAATGTGAGCACTTAAGGGAGCGCTTTAGAGATTTAAATAATTGAATAAGAAACCAGAAAAGATGGTAGCCATTTTCCTCATTTCTTTTTAAAGATGCATTTGAAATGAAAGGGAAGGTCCATGTCCACCGTTATCTTCAAGCTGCAAACAAATTACGTTAAGAGACAGCATGAAGACACAGAATCTTTATATTGACTGCTGTGAATCTTGGTTTCAGGGTACTTTACTAACTTAAAGACTCAGATGTTGAGTCGTTGTGGTTGAAAGAACTCTTCGGCATTATGAAACTAATTTTGTTATCGCGAAAGCGCTTGAGCAAACCACGCCCTAGCTGTCGGTTTATTGGCAAAGATAATGGCTCTCTGCTGGTTTGGTTTCGCAATTCGTCACAGTTATTCGTCTCAATCTTCTGGCGTTGTGGTAGGAGCAGCTCCTGACTGTGAACCTTCCTTTCCACTGGCTTTCTTAGTTCCCGACACAATGTCATCAATCCGCAGCAAAAGCATGGCCGTCTACACAAACGAGATCAAACGAGTCTCAGTTTCATTCTAAATATCTCGGATTATCCACGTTTTTAATCTAAATTAAGTCAAGAAGATACCAAATGGTTCTCTTTTGTCTGTTTACGACTAGGCTATGGGTGAAAATCTTAAAATGAACTCAGCATCAAATACCTCAATGGCGGTCTTGAAAGTTTGTGCTTTAACAGAATAAGTGTCCCATACGCCAAGAGTATTCATGTCCGTGATTTCACCAGTCTCGCCATTAACACCCCAGGTTGTGTTACTATCTACTGCGTGCTTTGCCTGTAAAATTCAATTAAATTCCATTCAATTTGTTTCCCAAGGAGCTCTTGTATCTTGGTGAAGCCATTATCAGGTACGTATGACGCGTCCCGCATACATGCGGCTAGAGCAAGAAGGATATAAAATTTAAAGCTCGGTAATGAAATAAGAAAGAAGTTTTTCCATCTTGTCACAAGCGTTGTAAGTCATTAGTAATATTCTACGAAGCATACCCTGAGTGCTGTGAGAGTTCTGATAGTGTTAGCTCCACAGTTCTGGATCAAAGTACGTGGAATCACTTCCAGAGCTTTGGCAACTGCTTTGTAAGGCCACTGTTGAACACCTGCTACTGACTTAGCTTTCTCTGTTAACACCTGTAGCATAAATGAAGAGTATTCAACTTAGGTCTCTTGCTACAGTAATATCGGTATATGTGTGCCCTCAAGCTGTGAAAGTAGACACAAATCGTGTGGTATAAAATTTTACTTCGAGATGAACAACATTTCTGCTGGGAAATTCAAATGTTGTATGGAGTGTAGTGGAGCACACATAAGTGCACTGGTTAGCATGGCATGATATAAGTATGGGAAGTGAATAAATGTCCATGCCACAGATGTATTCTGTGGATGTACTTACATGGGCAAGAGCCATCTCGGCAGCTCCCCCACCTGGCACCAGTCTGGGATCCAACATGACATTCCGCGCTACATTCATGGCATCATGAAGGTTACGTTCAACCTAAACACATCATGTTAATCACCATTAGTTCACTGTCAGTACTGCTGCGAAACCAATTTAGATCAAAGCTGCGCTGATTGTACCTCATTTAAGATGTCTTTACTGGCTCCTCTTAGCAAGATTGTGCAAGCCTTGGGATTCTCGCATTCAGTTATGAAACAAAAGTACCTGCCATCAAAAATAAGTTGTGCTAAGATATCTTACTTGTTCATTGTAGTGTTCTCGAAAGTCGATAAACACCAGGTTGTGTTGGCCCTCAGCACTACTTGACTAGAACTTATTTCAACATGCACGACATTTTCTAATGTAAATATGGATGACTAATTACTAAATAGAATGCTCTAAAGAACTTAGAGAGCGACAAACCCCATTTTTATCCAAACTGTACAACTTAGTACATACTACGTACTAAATATTAATGTTTGACACAAGTAAGTATTTCAGCTGTTCATCGTATTTTCTGACATATTTTACAGTACTAATATTCATGGTTCCAGGTGCAATGTCTGTTAAATGCAGTAAATCAGAATTCTAAGTCAAAACTTACTCATCCCCGAACTTCTTAATTTCAAACAATCCAGCCCCAGTGCCTATATCTTCTTCTTTCAGTTCTTCTGTTCTGTTCACAATGGTTGCACCGCATGCGCGGGCAATACGATTGTTGTCTGTTTTCCTTATACGGCGTATTGCTGTTATTCCGTTCTTCACAAGGAAATGCTGGGCAAGATCTAAACAATAACAGGGCAAGTGATAAAAATTGTCTTTTGTGCCAAGCACATGGAGAACGTAAACAATGGTTTCTTTAACAAAACTTGGCCAAGTACGGAACCATAAGATTTAAGGCCTTCATTATGCTCACTCATTTATCATAGTATACATGTACATGAGGAATGCAGATCCTAACTACTTAACAAGACTTTTTCATCAAGACACAGAAGTCAACAGAGAGATCCTTTCAATTCCATTTAGTTTTTAGGGTGGGGTTTGCATCTCACCTGATACTCCTTTTTCTGTGAAGACAACATCAGGTTTTAAGGCTATAACATCACTACAAACTTTTTGGATATACTCCTCTTCTAGCTGAAGAATACGACTGAAAAAAAATTTTTGCAGGAAATTATGCAATTTTTTATGGACATTTTGTTATTAATGAGAAAATTTATTAGGTGCAAGACAGTGTGTTGTGTGTGTGAAATAAAAAGGAATCAACTTACTTGAAGTCTGCTTCTTTGGATATTTCTAAGCTAGTCTGCATAAGAAAATGAATTCATGTGACAAAATCAGAATTTAATTCAATATACTCTTCTTAACAGCAACAGAGAAGCTTAATATCTTGCTTCTAATACAAGAACTGAAATTGGTTCAAAAAAAGTTTATGCATCCTTCTCAACTTCTCTGGATGTAATATGGAACTGAACTGTACTAAAACAAAAAGAGTATGCAATTTCCTGCTGCAGTATATCACAATCAAGCCAGATCTATAAGGCATTCTTCATAAGATAGCTATGTGTGTATTAAATCAGGAAGGTGACCATACTTGACTTTCCCCTTTCTTGTACTCCAGAGAACAATCCAAAAGAACTATCCTAGGATTTTCTATTCTCCTGAAAGTGAGAATAACATAACAGACCAGATTACAACCAAAATTTTAAACACTTCCTAATACCCAGAAAAAAGTCAATAAGAGACATAGTCAGGACATCCATATGAAGATGTCCAATCAATTAACAGACAGATGTTAAGATTATCTTTTGAATGCAACACACAAATTGTGTCAAAGAAGAGGTCTTCACCTTTTCATTCTTGGATGAGTAACATCTTTGTTAACCATGACCCCAGATAAAACACATGAATCTTCAAGTTCACCTCCAGGGATCTACAGTGAAAAATTGTATAACATATGTTTGTCATCTACTGCTGAGATAATTAAAGGTCTTGGCCAAGTTATTTGTGGATCACAACAACTATATTCAGTCCTTGACTTTTTTTGATGACTTTACATTAGGCACAAGAGTTTGGGCAAACCATTACAATTTTTACTTCCATCTTTAGTATTCAGTTCCTTACTTTTTCACACAACTTAATTAACCACGAACAAAATGTGATGTACTGGCTCCAATATGACTTGTTAGAGGATATTTACACTAAAATTAAACCATGGGTATATCCTGAATAAATAAATACATGTACTTATGCAAAAATGAAAGAGTTTCAGAGTGTTTATTGAGCACATAATTCTCCACCTAAATGTTAAGAGCCTGATTTCTTTTTCACTGATATGTGGTGAATATGTTTTATTCTCAGTACTTCAAAGTATTTGCCAGCCTCTCTGCTTCACAGTGAAAATCCTGAAACCCAACCTGCATTAATGTATTGTGTACCTTTTCCACTTTGGCATAATTTTTTATGTCTATCTCTTTTGTGTCTCCTTGATCTCTTGCAATAGTTCGTACTGCATCTAAAGCTATGTTACAAGCCAAATCTCCCCTACAAAGAATGTGAACAAAGTTAAGCTAGCACAAAATGCAACATGTACAGTGTGTAACACAATCATTCTTTCATGCATACTACAGTACTGCCTGAAACCAAATGGAAATTGTCTCCAGGTTTATGAGGAAGGCGTGTATATGTTGCACATGCTTTTCCCTATTTTGTGTTGCGACAGATGCATATACATGTAACTTAAAAGTGTCCAAATTCTTCTGTACTGTTTAGGACTAAGCTGAGGTTTTCATCTGGATAACCAAAGAGAAGCATATATGCATTTTTTCCCAAATTTGGCATCAGTGGTTTAAGCAATAATTTGTTTTGGAAATCTTATTGTCACTCCTCATGGGGCCCTTAAAGTTTACAGAAATTGTCAAATGCAAAATTTAAGGTATTACCACAGGTGTACAATGACAACATACAATGTAGCTGGTTTCCACACACCTACAGGTAAGAGACTAAGGGCAAGTGATTAATATGCTGAAATTGAAAGATCTAGGAAACTTGACAAAATGTTGCAGGGAAAGAGAAGGGGGTAAGCTGTGGTGTCCATATGCAGTCCCAACCTCATGCTAAGGTGACTAGGATAAGCTTTGACAGCAACTGGCCATCAGGCAAGACCCTCAAGTAACTCCTTACTGCTACTTTAGTGATTAAATGTCAGTATAAAAATATTGAACTACCGCAAAAAGTGGGGATTACATACATACAATGACTTCTATAACTGCTTGATCTGTAGTAGCATTATATTTAGGGACATATATTAAAACTGCAGTCACAAAATGGAAACTAACCAATGATGGACAAATTTTGTTCCCACAGAGCTTCTTACAATCTTCAACATTTCCTCCCTATTTTCAACATCAACTGGAACGCTGATTTGATCTTTCAAAATCTCGAGCATGTCATCCATGGCTTGCCTGTAAGCTCCAATAATTACTGTGGGATGCATCTGATCCTCAAGAAACTGCTGAGCGACTGACATCATTTCGCCAGCTGAAACGTCACCACCACAACACTAATTACACTAATGATGGGATTGTGCTAATAACAAGACTCTTTAGACTGACTACATCAGATATTGGGAAGGAGAACAGAAATATGACCTTACCTTTTAAAAGTTAAGGATCATTTAAAAAATGTATGGGCCATCACAGTGATGGAATTACAGTCAACTCGCCAATGGTTCAACTCGCCAACGCCGACTTGCTGATGTATAGAATCAAGTAGAAACGTCGGCGAGTTGGTCTTCAATCCAGTATAACTTATTAGAAGTTAAACATATAGAAAAGTAAAAGATCTTTAGTAAAAGAAAAAAGTTTTCTTCTGACAAAGTTTAGAAGAACCTCATGGCGAACAAAGAAGGTAAACATCACCAATGACTATAACAGCTTCAGACACGAATGAGTTATGTGTGACAACAACACCATAAAGAGTCATCATGTCAATTGGTCAGATTTTTTAAAGAAAACTTGGCTTTCTAGTCAAGATCTTTATTAAAAAAAATTATTTTTAATTTGTAACAAAGTTTATAAAGATCTCAAGGCGAATAAAACAAGATAAACATCAGCAATGACTATAAAAGCTTCAGATGCGAACGAGTTATTGTGTGACAACAACACCGGA